ACATATACATTTTATATGTTGATGCATGACATAAGCTTCAGCCACTGAAAATGTAAGTCTATTTGGAGAACAGAGAGCATTTGTGCCTATGAGCAGTTGCAGAGAGGTAATTCGTTAGAGATCTTGCAGTTTTCTGAATTCTGAAGCATGCTGCGCTAAATGCAAGTATATTCTTAAATATCAATATAAAAAAAAATAGAAAACAAAGCATGCAGCATCATTTGGCAGTTCAGAAATTTATTGTTCACCTGTATCTGAATTATCATATGATCATCCAGTTCCCTCCGTGTCCAAAGAATGCAGCAGATCTGGGAAAGCAACATAATGAAACAAGATACTAAATACCATGACAAATTAGGTAGACTTGGCTGGAAAATAACAATTTTGTAGGTGTATATATGAGAGTAGGATGATGAATGGCATAGGGAAAGTACATGGGGACCAGTTATTTATCTTCCTTGCAATATAAGAACTCAGAGGAATTGAAAATTCCCAAGCAGGTGTTTTAAAAGAGAAAAAAAAACACTTTTCCAAGCAGCGTATCTAAAGCATGAAATTTACTCTCACAAGATGTTGTAGATAAGTATAAAGAGATCTAAGAGATACATTCATATAAGAAACACTCATGGAAACCTACCAGTCATAAAGCCATAAATATAACCTGCCCAAGAAGTCTCTAAATTGTAAAGCTTGCTGGAAGCTTTGAGGGTATTCCACAGGATTATCATGCACATCCGGCCATCAAATTCCCCAGAACAACTCCTTTTTGGTTTGATGGAGGCCCAGCTCAGTTTCATGTTCTTAGGGGTTTTTAGATGAGGAGCTAAAAAAGAAACTGCTTTACAGATATTCTTAGGACCATAGGAACTTAAATTTCATCAGTCTTTGGTGTGACTGGCACTAGTGGAACTCTGTTCTGTCGCATTAATTCACTATAATTTTCAAAATCTCAGGATGCAAGAGGCATAAACGTTTTTTGTCTTCAGATGTAGATTTCTGCTGGTTTGTTCACAGCTGGAGGAATTACTCAAGAAACAATATGCAAATTGGAAAACAGTGCAAAAAAATAACTGAAAGAGAGAGCAGAAAGGTTAGAGAAAGAAATAAATATTATACATCTTACATATATTTCATTTCTTGATGTCATTTTTTATTTTACTCTATATTTAGCAGCAAGGCCTTATACCCATGTAGGCATTATGTAAGAACAGAAACAATTCTCCTTTTCCATTCTGTATGAAGAACCAGCTGGATCCAAGATGCTCATAGCTCAGGCTGCTGGAAATGATAAGAACAGGTAAGGGGAAAAGTGTTTCATAGAATCGTCAAGGTTGGAAAAGACCTCTAAGATCATTCAGTCCAACCATCCACCTATCCGTAATATTTCCCACAAAAACATGTCCTTAAGTACAATATCTAAATGTTTCTTGAACACCTCCAGCAACAGTGACACTACCACCTCCCTGGACAGCCCATTCCAGTGCTTGACTACTCTTTTTGAGAAGAATTTTTTCCTAACATCCAACATGAATCTCCCCTGGTGCAACTTGAAGCTGTTCTCTCTAGTCCTATCACTATTTGCACGGGAGAAGAGGCCGATCTCTATCTTGCAGCAATCTCTATTCAGGTAGTTGTACAGAGTGATAAGGTCTCACCTGAGCCTTCTGTTCTTGAGACTAAATAATCTCAGTTTCCTCGGGTGCTCCTCATAAGGCTTGTGCTCCACCTGGTGATCATAGAATCATACAATGGCTTACATTGGAAAGGTCCTTAAAGATCACTGAGCTTAAACCCCCCTGCCCTGTGCAGGGTTGCAGTAACCCGGTAGAAATTTACATTTCAGGATTCCAGATAACCTAGCAAAAAAACTTATGCAGGCAATTCAATCCCTGTTGTCGTAGGCGTTAACGAGGTATCGGGTTGTGACACGATAGGACCTCTCCTGCTCTGTGACTAACATGTGATGCATGCTTAAGGGGATTAGGCAAAACAGGATGTGTATTTAAGGGGTTGTTGTGCCTTAATAAATTGCCATTTGCTTCTCCCTGATATTTGGTGTCAGTGTTGCTATGGCCCTAGCGAATGCAGATCGCTAGCCCCCTGATGGTGCAGCCTCAGACACGGTGATTGCCGGAGGTAACAAATCCCTGTCCACATGACTATCCCTGATCCCCATTTTCACATCCTAACTCTCACATGTTATTCATCCACCTTGCCTGACAAGAAGGAAATGTGCATGCAGACCAGTGTGGTTGAAGACTGGGACTGTCCACTGTAAACCCTGTACACAGCAGTGACCACCATAATCTGTTCTGTTCTTAAAGTTGATCATCAGGAAAAGAAGGATTTACTGAAAGAGTGGAGGAGAATCTCAACCAAAGCTCTGGAGATAAAACAGGACCCTTTGAAGTTTTAGAGAGTCAACTGTGGGAGTTGACTATTTTCCCACCGTTTCACAAACGATTTGTGTCTTCTTAAGGTTTCTATGTGTAGGAAATTCCTGTGGTTTCTGAACTTCTTTTGCACCGGATTCCTGAAGAACGCGACCAAAGTCTCCAGAAAGACGCTCAGAGACTCAGGTGTTTCTAAAAGGAAAAGCACAAGAAGCGAGAATGTACAATCCAGGCCCAAAATGGAAATGAACACTCCTTGAACAAATAGCACAGGTGGATGCATCACAGAGATGAAAATAATCCTTACACCCAGCCCAGAGACAGAGGCAGCAGCACTCAGTAGTCAGAGCCCTTGTTGGCAGACCTGTGCCCATTGGGGAAGTTGGGCTGGCCCAAGTTGTGATAACATAAGCAGAAGGATCTCTTTACTCCACTCAGCTAGGAGATGTTATAGCTCTTGGAGAACTAACTTTTCCACATACCTTAGTTCGGCCTTGGGTGAGAGAAAAGATTTAGGTTTTCCTAATGCTGATGTAGGAACATGAGGGGTATGTGATTATCCTGGCAATTCCATCTTAGGCAAAAGCCAGCCATCTGCTTCAGTCTACAGAAGCAAGCAAAAGTTAGAGCAACAGCAGAAGCACCTCAGTATAATTATAGAATCACAGAATCTTAGAATTGCTCAGGTTGGAAAAGAACTTAAAGATCATCGAGTCCAACTGCAACCTAACTATACTAAGCTAAATCTAACAACCAACCACTAAATCATGTCCCTGAGCACCACAACACAAATGGTTTCTAAACACGTCCAGGGATGGTGATTCAACCACCTCCCTGGGGAGCTTATTCCAGTGCTTAACAACCCTTTCTGTAAAGAAATTTTTCCTGATATCCAACCTAAACTTACCCTGGTGCAACTTGAGGCCATTTCCCCTCATCCTGTCACCTGTCACCAGTGAGAAGACACCAACCCCGCTCTCGCTGTAAGCACTTTCAGGTGTTGGAAGAGAGTAATAAGGTCTCCCCTCGGCCTCCTTTTCCCCAGACTAAACAGCCACAGTTCCTTCAGTCTCTCCTAGTAGGGCATATTCTCCAAGCCACTGACAAGCCCTGTTGCCCCCCTTTGGACCTGCTCCAGCACCTCAACATACCTTCTCTACTAAGGTGTCCAAAACTGAACACAGTACTCGAGGTGAGGCCTCACCAGTGCCGAGTACAGGGGCAGGATTACTTTCCTGCTCTTGCTCACCACACCATTCCTAATACAAGCCAAGATGCCATCAGCCTTCTTGACCACCTGGGCACACTACTGGCTCATATTCAGCTGACTGTCCATCAGTACACCCTTTCCATCAGGCAGCTTTCCAGCCACTTCTCCCCAAGCCTGTAGAGTTGCCTGGGGTTGTTGTGACCAAAATGCAGGACCAACACTTGGCCCTATTGAAACTCATACAGTTAACCTTGGCCATCAATCCAGTCTATCCAGGTCCCTCTGTAGTGCCTTTCTCCCCTCTGGCAGATCAACACTCCCTCCCTTCTTGGTATCGTAAATCTGAACAGAGTCATTTATGCACCATCACCCCCACTCTGCATTGTTATGGAACAAAGAATCTAGTCTTCAGCTTTATGAGATGAAGTTCAGGTGCTAGAAATGTTGGTGAGGTGTTTTTTGTTTTGTTTTAACATTCTGCCAGCTCCCACTAAACTGCTTAAAATGCATCTGTGATTTCATCATCCTCTGTGAGTTTATAGAGGTTGAATCCACCTAATATAGATTAGAGTTCGGAGTCATTCCTCACTAAGAAAAAAAAATACTGACACGTAAGTCGGAAGCAGTGCTGGTCACCAAAGCAGCAGGGGGAAAAGAAGTTGGTTTTGAAGCTCTGGAATAGAAATAATTTACTTCTTTTCAATGACTGACACCAACCCTAAACTTCTAGGACTATATGCAAGAGCAGTACCATTAGCTGTAGGGACATGATGCAACAACTGCCTAGCAGCTAATTTTTTCATGGCTGTTCTTTGACAGCAAATTTCATGCTTCGACTGTGCCTGTCTGTCCCAGTCTGTCAGAATGCTTTCCAAGAAGGGAAAGCATGCTAAATGTTCCTTTCATTTCTCTAGTGAAGCAGGAGAAAGAAACAGATTAAAATATATTATGAGCTTACATGTGTTTGATATGCAATCCTATAGCATAAACATAAACTTTTTTTTCAGGGACTGGTCTAGTCTGTTCTTAAAAATGCTTTCATTTCCCCCTAAAGATGACTTAGTTTGTACAATGGAGATGTAATTCTCGCACCAACAGGAATATTGCTTCAAATACAACCACATGTGTGAACCTGCCACTCAGCCAGAGTGGCAAGGCATCTGTTTATATTGAGAATTGAAATCCTAGAATATAATATTCCTTCTGTGAATAATCTAGAAGGTGTAAATTAGTGATAAGTGTAGCACACATTAAAACAAATAACCAAAAACAGTGGGTTTTCCAACAATCCAGTTTAATAGTTTCTTCATATATTTGTGTTTTTACATCAAATAAAATGGCAACACAAAAAAAAAAAAAAAAAAAAAAAAAAAAAAAAAAAAAACAGAAATGTACAGTTCAAGAAAATACCCAAAGCCATTACCATTTTGGCTTCCTATTTGATGATATACAGTTATGTACAAAACTGTTTTATTTGCAGTAACCAGTGAAGATTTAGTGATTTATTTACAATGTCAGCTGGTGCCTTTTGCTATGCAATTGAGCTGTTTCATTTTTGGTATTTACATTCATAGTAGCAGAAGCCCATTCCCAAAACTTATTTATAGATAGGGCTAAGACATGGACTGAAACAAAGCAGGACTCTCACTACCAATCACAAATGCATCTGTGAAATCCTATTTTTATATAAAACTGAAGGAAGAGTCCAGCACCAAATGCACTGCTGTAGCCATTATATTGACAGTCAATATTATAAAGTGTCTCCACTGAGAATAGCATTCCCACTCATGCCTGGGGGAAGTACGTGCAAGCTGGAGGCAGTATATATTTCAAGCTGCAGAAGATAGATAGAATATATAACTCTAATGGTACTTATCTTGAAGTAGATATCTTGCCAGAGACCTCCAAAGCAAATGAAGATACAAAGTATGTTATCCTTTTAAATGCGTATGGAGAATATTTTACAGTTCTTACACAGAGGTTAAGCTAGGAGGTGTAAAAGATGAACATTTCATCATAATACACAAGCTGTTTCAGAGAATCACAAAATAGCTCAGATTGGAATGGACCTGCAGAGGTCTTCTATTCTAAATCATTCAGAGCATGGCCAGCTTCAAGGTTAGAGTCAGTTTTAAATGTAAAACAGGTTGCTCAGAGCTGTGTCTGATTAAGTTCTGAATATCTCCAAGGATGGACAGTATGAAAATGCTGGGCACCTACTGTCATGTTTGACCACTTTTATGTTAAAAAAAAAAAAAAAAAAACTGCTCACAACATCCAATGAGAACTTTTCACCTTAGAAGGACAATCTAAGGTTCATTACGTCAATTATAATCTTTCTATTGACAACAACATCATTAGAGCATCTCTAGACCAAATATAACAGCATTATTCTCTAGGCTTTTTAGAAGAAAGGTTTCATTTTTCTACATTATATTCTGACAGCTAGTCAGTAGGGTACCACTGCTTGAAATATTTACCTAGCTTGTACGTATCCACTGGCATCAGGAAATCAATGCCACAGTTGCACTTCCTTAATCTGTGACAAATTCAGTATTTTGCACATTATACAGCTGTTACAGAACAGCATGCTTATGAGATCATGAGTAGGTGCAAATTGCTCACATAAAATGCATGAGGGTTTCACCACAGAAACCTCTCAGCAAAGATAATAACAGTTTGTTTGGGGAGCAAAAGCTAGTATTTCATATTATAGCTGCATGTTTGAGATGTGATCACGTTTGTTTTGCTGTCAGCCTGCTGTCCCTCCTGATTGTCAAACCTGTTTTGTCTCTCACAGCTTGAAAAATGCAATCTACAGCATGGTTTCCTCCAATAAATGCTGCTCCTAGCTAAAATGCTTTTCTAGCTCCTATATAAAGGCAGTCACTCACCCGATCATTCCTTCCCAAAAAAACATTACAGCATGAGCTAGAGGCCACACGTCCTTTACTTCCCTAGCCCTAGGAATGAGGAAAACAAACTAAAATTAGCTCAGTCTTTGTATTCAGGCTTAAAATCTCCCCACATACACCATTATAAGAACACATACAGTCAGAGATGACAACCTACTGTGTCCAACCTAGGAAATCTGTTGCAATGCTTTCTTCTTAAATACCACACATTTTATGACAGTAACAGTTACAACCAGAATACAAGACACCGATGTATGCATACATATCGATCGTAACTTTGTTGAGCAAGGTATGTGAACCCTCATAATTGGAGCTACTTTTCTGACTTTATCCCTTTGGAAGAAAGCAGAAAAAAATAATAATTCTAGACATCAAAATGAGCCATGCTGTATCTAGAGAGAGAATGAGTATCAAGGGAAATACGTTTTGGGATGCTGATGGGCTTATTTACACAGCCAGTCACACTTGTCACATTTGGTAGAAAGGGAAATAAGGCTTTCCCTGTGCAGTCCTCTTGTAAGATCCAGACTCTTCAGAAGGGTAAATGAGATGCAAAATATTCTTTCTCCCCTCAGTGTAGATGCACACAGTAACTCCTACCATCAGTGTGAGGGTGGTGCATGGATGGAAAGAAAAAAACAGTTTCTGATTGCCACAAAAATCTTGACAGCTGACTAAAGATGTTCCACAGGCCTCTCAGCAGAATGACAAGGTGATGCAAGATGCTGCATTTCAGTTCTCTTCCCTGGTTTTGTTTTCCTAATATTTGTTTGATAGCCCACAGACCATTCTCACACTATAGCAACAAATTATCTCTTTGAAAGTCTTCCTCATTTCCTGGCTACGAAAGGCATAGATCAAGGGATCAATCACCGAGTTGCACATAATGAGAATGAGGTACATGTTGAAGTGAGACATGAAGCAAACGCAGTAGAGGTTTTGAGGGCAGGAGATCATCAGGATGAGATGGAGGAAGAATGGAGCCCAGCAAACAATGAAGATGCCGAGAAGCATAGTCAGAGTGATGGCTCCCTTCATGCTGGTTCTTTGATGGACAGAGTTGTACCCAGGCAAAGCAGCTATTTTCTTCACGTGAGTACGAGCCAGGAGGAACATATGGATGTACAGTGAAACCATGAGGAACAGCATGGTAAAAAACATAGTGATGAGACAAATTATAACGTAAGTTGATTCATAATAAAGAATAAAGATAATGCCACAGCCTGTGCAAAAGGTCCAAATGCATGCAATGATAAGCCCTGATCTTTTCACTGTCATGATGTTGTGGTAACGCAGGGCATAGAAGATAGTGATATATCTGTCTACTGCTATCGCCAGCAAACTGCACATGGAAGCCACCACAGATATGCAGATCAGTGAATCAAAGACATTGTCTATATGACGGATGAAGGCATCTTCCATAATTATGTGCCTATTGTTTATTAAGTATATTGTTATGGTCTCCCAAGCATTAGACACGCTAACCAGCATGTCAGCCACTGCTAAACTGCAAACAAAAAAATACATGGGTGAATGCAGGTTCTTGTTCTTAACAATTGCACATATCACTAAGATATTTTCAAGGAGGCTTACAATGCCCAGGGTTAGGAACACCTCAGCTGCAATGACCACCTGCTCACATGGTGACGACTTGCTCTTTACAGTAGGCACAGTAAAGTTGCTGCCAAAGGCACTCAGGTTTAGTTCAGAAACATACAGTTGCGAGGATGTGTTCATGTCTGGAAGCAAACACTTTCTGTTCTCTCTGAGGAACTTGCCAAGGAGTGTGGTAAATGCATTTTCCAAAAGGCAAAAGACCCTGCCAAAAAAAAAAAATACAGCATGACAAAAACAGGCAGAAGTTGACAAGACAAATATCAAACATTTCTATTTAATTTGGCTTGTACACATCCTGCCTCTTCTACACAATATTCCGCTACTGATTCTAAATTAACTTCCACTTGGCTCAGAGTTTTTCTGTCCATCCAAACTGGGAAATTAAAGCCACAGACTAATGAAGAGATTCATACATTCTTCTCTTGCACTTTAGTTTATCCTATTCAGTCTCCCAGAAGCAATCACACTGTCCTGGAAATTCTGCCAAACACAAATAGACAGCAGAATTTCAGTTCTCAGAGCCCAGAAATGCAGGAGAAAAGTACTACATTGTGCAGAACCTCATCATTGGAATGCAATATATAGAAGTACTGCCACAAATAAGAACTGAACATTTTCAGTAAGAGATTTACATGCTTCCTGAACTTTGAACTACTTAAGTTTGCACAATCTGTGTTACAAACAGTCTGTCTGTGCTATGCTAACAAGCTCATTTTAAGAGCAGAGTATTAAACCACGAACCAAGGCAAATGCTTACATTCTGGGATTCCGTGAGATTACAGAATCAGTAGGAGGGAATTCTGGCCCAGCAATAAGTTTTCTATTCCAATTCATGAGTACTTTTTGTCTTTTAGTAATGCAAATATTCAGTGCAAGCTGTAAGACATCATATTCTTAACATGGGGAACTCTTACAGCTGATTGTCAATTACTTGTTGCAAGTAAAATTCAAAGCTCCTCAGGCAAAACTATTTTCAATTTTTAAACATAACCTTTCATTTTCAATCAAGAAATAACTGTACCTATTTACCAGAGCTGCTCCTTCAGCTGCTCTTCCTCTTCATCTCCTGCAGCCTTTCCTCCAGAGAGCAGGAGTTTCAGCCCCTCCTCACCCGACATCTGGGGCTGGGGACTCCTTGGTGGGGATGGATGACATTATAGAGGAAAATGAATGAGTAAATCCATACAGTCAAGGCTGAGCACGCATAAATTACTCACTGTGCAACTGCCCTTTTATAGTCTCCGAACAATAATGACTTCAGTACTCAAACTGTGGCTCCTCCTCCCTTTTGCCCCTCTGAACTTCGCTTTTCACTGATCCTGTTAGCAAAGGTTCCGGTCTTTACCACCATCTAGTGGTCTTTGCCTGTCTTTCTTTTTATCAGGACAGTGATTCAGATCTAAAACTCGTGAGCTTTTAAAATTCTTGCTGTTCCAATACCTTTGGGGAAAACTACATTAAAGGACAAAATGCACTAGGCATGCTCCTTGCTAAGCACATCTCATATGGATTGGTTTTTCTGTTTTCTCTGCTTTTGCAAATACTCGCTATCCATAACTTCACATTCCAGAAGAGATAAGAGCAGAAAATCATTGTTAAAGTAGGAGGCTTATTTTATTGTTCTTAAAAACATTTGTCTTTCATCCACAGTTAGTTTTGTAAGAATAGGAAGCACACCATCACACAACTCATAAAAGAACATACTATCAAGCCTATCACACCACTAACAGAAGAGAGAAGCAAAGCCATTTATGTGAGAAACAATATAGAAGAAATAAATGATTGTATCCCAGCTCCCTTGTCTGGAGCAGAGATTTCCATGCATATAAGGAGGAGCATACAGAACACTGTGCTGGGAGCCAGAGATGAAGTTCTCTCTTTCTCCATATTGCCACCTTTCCACAAATCAGAGGATTGGATTTCTTCAGTGGTATACAATAACTCCAATAGCTTATTTTTAACCTACAGCATTTTTTTTTCTTAAAGAATCACCACCAGAAAGCACAAATGATAGGGCTGTACAATGTGCTGTTTTCGCTGTCTACTTAGATAGATTTTATTGATAGAATGCAGCTAAATCTGTGTTTCTGATTGTTATACTCCACAGAAGCTTCCTTTGTTGTTACTGCAAGCTTCACTTCAGAAACCCTCAAAGACCTGAGCCATTGTATGAAAGGTGCTTATGTATGAATAGTCCCTGAGCCAGAGGAGATAGTGAAAAATGTTCTGATTCATATGCGTAAAAAGGCTTCTTTAAGACTAGGCAGTTAGTCTGGAGGTGAACTTTGCATACCCCTTCTCCCTGCTAAAGGAAAGAGAATTTAGATTACCACAAAATAGAGGCAGAAAACTATGCTCAAGTACAGCTGTTAGATCTGAGCAGATAGTGCCAGCAAATAAACAGCACCCGAACAGCAAGTGAACAGAATCTGAGCTCAGAGCTCCTTGCTGTGCTCAAAAGAATATAGGATGCCCATCTCCAGTTCTCTTTCTGTTCTGCAATGTAAAGGATGTTTTGGTTCTTCTACATAATCTTTAGTTATCTTAGTTATCATTAGTTATTGTTTACATGGTTTCTGAATTTCCCACAGCAGACTCTGGAAATCATACACCTACACATAATGTCTTCCTTCTTTCTCACTTCTTATACCTACCAATGTCTGTGCAGATGTTGTGCTTTTTCCACTTTTACTAATTTCCCTTCTAGTACCCTAATATTTTGTTTATTATACTCTCTCCCCTTAAATTTGGTTCATCTCCCCATTTACAATTCCTTCTGTACATTCAGTCATTCAGTTTCACAAAATTCTTACAGATCATCTTATCTGCCTTCATGGTAGTTCTGTGTGCACCTTAGAGCACTCTGGGCAGACCACCTGATTGCCATAAAGAAGTCACACGGCAGAGGAGATGGGCTGGCTGCTATTCCTTAGTGTAGTGTCAGGTCTCTCAGATACAAATTATGAAGCAACCTTTTACCCTTTGCCACAGCCCAGACACTGCAGGCCAGACCCTTGTTATAAGCGGCAATGCTGGACTAAGAAACTCTTTTACTTACAGAAAAAACTTTACAGGAAAAAAAAAAAAAAAAAGATCTGCCTGGAAACTGGGATAAATCATTAGATCTGTATAGATCTGATGTCTGGTATAGATATAGTTTGTTTACTTTAGAAGATGAGATGAAGAAATGCTTGAAAAAAAAACCAACAGTTTAATGGTAACATTTCTGCAGCAAACAGCTATGCACATAACAGCTGAAGGGGCACCCAATTAGTGACCAGTGATTAAATGAATTCTGAGGATTGTAAATGCAGGGCATAGGTTCTTCAGGTTCTCTATAGATTTTCTCAGGAAGAACTGTAAGCTTCCAACCTTACAGATGGAGGGCTCCTGACTGACAAGTTATTCTTGCAGGTGCTTGTGAGCTTGGTTTTCATCTCCCTTGCTTGTTCTGCTCATTAAATTCTCTGTCTTTGCAGTCAGGTCAGCACTCAGCATTTTCCAAGGCCAAAAGTACTATGTCTGGATGGCCAAGCCAGGGCAAACAGTACCTCATGCATGACTGTGGGTGTGTAGCTATTGGGCTGCACTGACTCGGCATGCAGCCTGATCCCATGAGCACACACAGAGGAACACTGAAGTCCGACTCTTGTCCTCAAAGCAGCATTTTCTTATCACAGATTGAAGAAGGAAGTAGCGGCAGCACACTGAGGTGGAGGCCCACAGGTCTGCAATTGCTGGGGAAGACTGAAGCAAGGTCCCTCAGGCCAGCATGCAAGATGAGATGTGAACGTGGCTGGTGAGCCTGGCCCAGTTATTTCAGATATGGGCTCTGGGAGAATAGGACTTGGGAGAGCTTCTCTTTAAAACAGCTGCAACCAGGGTGCCTGTCTGTACTACTCATCTGTTTTCTCACCAAATTCATGTACTTGACCCTTCCTCCATGCTGCTTGAATGTGTTTTCTGCAAAGGGCAAGAGTGAAATTGCACACCATCTTCATGACAGCAAGGTACTCATTTTGTCAATGAAAGCAAAAAGGAGGCCAACAGTACAATGTGCCCCCAAAGAATTTTCTGTAAGAAGAGCTTATCACACTTAGATGAATTCTGCTGTTAATCTGTGCTAATCTTAATGGGTTCAGAGTAGAGTTTCACTGAGACCAACACAATCCTTCCCAACTTGTATGTGCTAATACACTGAGGTGATTTAATTCCAGTGTCCTCCTGTTGCTTTTTTTCATCTGTACAATGAAAATATATCTGTCCTTCATAACACAGCTGTGGATTGATGCTCTTGGACTGTTTACAAAATCTCTCCTCTGTCTGCTCTTTGCCTGTACTGTCATCAGCACAGAATTTAAGAGCCACAGAGTATCCTCTCGAACTGCACTCTGCTCACAGAAATAAGCCATGGATCCAAGGCAAAAGTGAAGATCACAGCCTTTGAAGATGTTATAACACAACAAATGTTCTCTAGCTGCTTAGACACAAACAACTGTTTCTCTTGACCTCTGCTCTGAGCAGCATTGCCTCAGCCCCATCAAGGTCCCTTCTGTTATCTCCTCAGTATTTTCAGAGCAGTTCCACAGCATTTAATAAAGACAGGCAATTAATCCTGACTGAAAATAAAAGGCATCAATCCTTGCCTTGAAATAAAAAGCAGGGAATGAAGTGGTGATAGACCCTTTGTAGTTCAGTCCTGTCCCCTATGTAGGACAACTAAAAGCCTAAAAGAAATGCTCTGTAGTAAGCAGTACTACACACATTTTTAATGTATATCATGACCCTACTTTTCAAATGGTATTTGCAGGAAGAATCACAGAAAAGCAAGACTGAAAGAGACATCCTGCTGTGGGTGATGGTGGGATTACCCACACTTCTCCAGACTGCACTGGTACTTCTCATCATCGCCCCTTTCACCAGAGTACACCAGCCCACTTTCAGATCATCTTTGGCCACTCTCAGTCCCTGGCAGTTCTGCTTCTCCTGCTAGAGGAGAAAGCTGAGAAAAGTGCAGTGCAGTATAAAAGGTATTCTAGAAAGATATATCTTAGTAATCTTAAGTGAATGATGTCGTAACTGGCTCCCTGAACTGTAAGAGGGAAATAAGAAGTTTGGTAATCATCATTTTTATGTGCCTTCTAATGGGAGCCAGTTCCAGCAATGAATCATCCCCTAACAGTTTGTTTGAGCACGGGTCAACAGTACAGACCTGCTGAATCATATAGGAGTGCTAGCACCAGACTCAGAGAAGCACAGATGACCAGCACCAGACTGCAGAAACTTTCTGATAGAAAGGAGAGGTAGTTTAATAATGAACAAACTGAGGGGGGAAAAAAGAAAAAGAAGAAAAACTTAGCATGCTCTTGTTTGAACACCTCTTTTTTGCTAGACCAAAGAAATTTCATGTGTCTTTATCCATTTGTATTAGTAAGCAAAAATAAATAAATAAATAAATAAATAAATAAATAAATAAATAAATATGATATATCCTTGGTGTCATTTCTGCAATATTATCTTTGAGCATGGTAAAGGGAAATTTTAAGAGCATATTATTTGTGTTTCTTAAAATACTCGTACATCAGAATCATACAACATATAAAATGCTGCTAATTTTTTTCATAATTTAGCTCCTCAGTGGGACTTTGTTATTTGGGCAATTATATTTTATTGAATGGTCACAGCCAATTCATGTGTGCATGCAGTTCCTATCTAAGCCAATCTTTTGGATTCAATGCACTTTCTCACTAAATGTGAATGTACATGCAGGCCAAGCAATGTTCAAGAATGCCATGACAGCAGTATCTTTATACTGAAATACAGGTTCTTTCCTCACTCTGTACAGACTTGTAAAAATAAGGCTACCTTCTATTAAATGAGGTATATAAATACATTGTGAGAATCAAATCATAACCATTTTGCTCAGAACTAAAATATTTTCTGTCATGCCCTTGTTCCACTGCATTTTCTATGCTTTCCAACAAAGCAACCTTGCAATATACAATATATTTTTTTAGTGTCAGGATATTTTCTAACCACTGTATCCTGAAAGAAATAAAAAAAATAGAAAACAACATTATTTCGGGAGTAGGAATTATTTATCATAGAATCATAGAATCGTAGAATCACAAGGTTGGAAATGACCAATAAGATCATCTAGTGCAACCATCTTCACACTACCACTGCTACCATAAGCTATTAGACCATATCTCGCAGCTCCTCATCCAGACACCTCTTGAACACTGCCAGGGACAGCGACTCCCCCACCTCCCTGGGCAGCCATTCCAGTGCCTGAC